AAGATGTTGAACACATGAAGTGCAGGAATTGAGTATGTCTAGTTTAGTGAAAAGAAGGACTATGTGTGATATGATAACAGTGTTCCAATATTTGAGGGGCTGCCAGAAAGAAGAGAGGGCTCAATTTATTTTCCAGAGCACCAGAACAAGAAACAATGGAGAGAAACTAATCAAGGAGAGAAGCAACCTAGAAATAAGGAGAAATTTCCTAACAGTGAGAACAATTAACCAGCAGAACCGCTTGCCTTCAGAAGTTGTGGGTGCTCCATCACTGGGGACTTTTAAGAAGAGACTGGACAGCCACTTGTCTGGAATGGTATATGGTCTCCTGCTTGAATAGGGAGTTGAACTAGAAGACTATTAATGGCAATTAACCATTAAACGTTGAACAAATGGTAATTTGGGGATTGGCCACAAACCTGGAAGAGGTTAATAGTGCAGCTGAGAACAGATCACAGCTGCATTCCAACCCACATGTGAAGGAAATGTTCCAAAAACAGTATCTTTGAATTTGATTGGACAATGGGGCCTAGCAGGGGATGCACCTAAGAGAGGGACAGTTGCACTTGGGGATTTTGGTGCACACTTTTCCATTCTGGGTTTGCTCTATTCTAGCATATCTATACCTATGGGTTGATGTAGCATATCAGAATCAGAATAGAGCTGGAAGGGACCTTGGAGGTTTTCTAGTCTAGCCCCCTGCTCAAGCCGGAGACCCTATACCAGCGATGGTGAAACTTTTTTTGGCTCACATGCCATAAGCGGGGGGAATGCAGGGAGGTCATGTGCGGATGTGCCACTCCCATAATGCAATGCGCAACCCCCCCCCTCAGTGCGCATGCGCACATGACAGGCGCTCCTCTCCATTTTCTGCATGCTTTTTTTTAACCTCCCCAGGCTCCAGAGGCTTTATAGGAGCCTGGGGAGAATGAAAACAGCCTCCCCTGCCCCCCCCCCCGGAGGGCCCCGGACGCTTCAGGAGCTTCCCTGAAGCCTCCAGAGCGCAAAAAACCAGCCCTATGGGCAAACTGGAAATTCGGGAACAGACTTCTGGTTTGCTCATAGGGCCGGTTTAAGCCTTCCGGAGACTTCAGGGACCTTCAGGAGGCTTTCCTGAAGGCTTCGGAGGACGAAAAATGACCCTACGAGCAATCCGGAAGTCCATTCCAGAACTTCTGGTTTGCCTGTAGGGCCGGGTTTTTTTGCACTCCGGAGGCTTCAGGGAAGCTCCTGAAACCTCTGGGTGGCCTCCAGGAGGCGTGGGAGGCTGTTTTCACACACACCCCGGCTCCTATAAAGCCTCTGGAACCTGGGGAGGATGAAAAATGGCTTTAAAAAAGGCTGAACTCAGCTGGCCAGCTGACAGGGCACCACCTCGTGTGCCCTGACAAATGGCTCCGTGTGACATCTGTGGCACGCGTGCCATAGGTTCGCCATCCCAGCCCTACACCATTTCAGACTAGTGACTATCCAGTCTCTTCTTAAAAACACCCAGTGATGAAGCACCCACAACGTCTGAAGGTAAACTGTTCCACTGGTTAATTGTCCTCACCATTAGGAAGCATCTCCTTAATTCTAGGTTGCTTCTTTCCTTGATTAGTTTCCATCTTTTCTTCTCCTGCCTCTGGTGCTTTGGAAAATAAATTGTCCCTCCTCTTTGTGGCAGCCTCTGAAATACTGCTATCATGTCCCACCTAGTCCTTCTTTTCTCTAGTCAACCAAACCCAAATCCTGCAACAGTTCTTCATATGTTTTAGTCTCCAGGCCCTTAATCATCTTACCCTGTTTCCCTGAAAATAAGCCCTCCCTGGATAATAAGCCCAATCGGGCTTTTGAGCGCATGTGCTAAAATAAGCCCTCCCCGAAAATATTGTATCACAGCAGCAGCCATGAGGTGACCACGCTCACCGCCTCCTGCTCCTCACAAATAATAAGACCTCCTTGAAAATAAGGCCAAGCGCTTATTTAGGGGGGGGTCAAAAGAAAATAAGACCCTGTCTTATTTTTGAGGAAACACAGTAGTTGTTTTTCTTTGCACCAAAGTGTAAACATCTTTTTTTGTACTGTAGTGACCAAAACTGGATGCGGTATTCCAGATGTGGCCTTACTAAAGCTTTATAAAGCGGCATTAATACTTCATGTGATTTTGTGTGTGCCTCTTTTTATACAACCAAGGTCTCATATTTAAGTGATTGTCCAGTAAGATCCAAAGGTCCCTCTCACAGTTACTGTTTACAGTTTAGGTACTCTCACAGTTACTAACTAGGAACAGCTAAGGACCGTTTCTGGTTATCCCATTTTACCTGTTGTCTGGATGGCACATAAATATTTAAACAAATTAACATTTTCCCCTTTAGATTTCAATCTCAGTATTTGAATTTCATCTACTATATATCATAATTTTGCAGAACAATTTATTCTATTCTTGCATCAAGGTATAATGCTCATTAAGCCCCTTTTAGCTCAGCCCCTCTTTCAGTCACTCTTGACCCATTTATAAAAAAAAATACCTGAAGCCAGGTATTCTACCAAAATTATTTCCCACCAACCAAGTTTCCTGGAGAAAAAACACGTAATAACTCTGTAGAAAGTGCAACAAAATTCTCATTTATACATTTGTCCATGCAAAGAGCAATGTTCCAGGACATTTGATTGTAAATATCTTCATGTTAGAGTTTTGTCAACACTGTTGATTAACTTCACTTTGGATTTAGTTCTGAAGGATATGTTGTCTACTTCTCTTACAAAATTATTGTGTTGGAGTATGACATAGCTGTTGGCCTCTAGAGCTTTATTCCTATGGGCGTTTGAATTATTGTCTCACCATTTCACGTGTTCAATTGACTTTAAAGTTCCTTGAGTACTTTCATACACACAGTTGGTTTTGGTTCCAGAGATATTTGGTGTAAACCTATACAAAATATGTAATCCTCTCATAGTTGCCTCAAATAGCAAGATGGGTGGCATATAAAACAAACAAACAAATGCATGCATGCATGCATGCGTATGTATATTGCATCCTGGGTCTTACTGGAGGAACTCTTGTGCACTATTATTAAAGTCTATGTAAGATTCTCTAATGTATTCAGTAAATCTGTTCGCAGCATGGCAAGGTTCCAAAGGTGTCAATTATTTCTGACTCCAGTAGTTCAGTTACAATCTGACCTCCTCTTGATCAGTTTCCATCCATTGTTCCTTGTCTAATCTTTGGATGTTTTGGAAAATAAGTTGCCCCCCTCTGCTCTGTGACAGCCTGTTGGAAAATATTGGAACACTACAATCATGTCACCGCTGATATTTCTCTTCACTGGACTAGCCATGCCCAATTCTTGTAACTGTTCTTCATATGTTTTAGCCTCTGAGCCCCTAATCATTTTTGTAGCTCTTCTCTGTGCCTTTGAGTCTCATCTTTTTTAAAGTGTGGTGACCAAAACCGGAGGCAGTATTCTGTGTGGACTTACTAAGGCTTTATAGTGGTACTAGTACCTCACGTGATCTTGATTCAATCAGTATATTAATGCAATTTAGGATTGTATTGGTTTTTGGCTGCTACCACACACTTGTGGCTCATATTTGGCTCATTTCAAAGGCCAGTTCACTTGGAGTTTGATATTTTTTCTCTGTTGGTTCAACTATGGCATCTCTATTTTAGGATATAGCGACTTGAACAATTTTGGACATAGGCTTCCCTGCTTTGACAAGGTTAGTCAATTTAGATCATAGAATTACAGGACTGGAAACGATCTCAGTGTCTTCTAGTACAATTCCTTGTTCAAGGTAGGAGATCCTACACCATTCAATCAAATGGCTATCCAATCTCTTCCTAAAAAACATCAGTGATGGAGCATGGCGGCAAGCTGTTCACTGATTTAATTGTTCTCCCTGTCCGAAAATATCACAACACTGTTGTGGTTTGCAAACTATGTTCCATGTACATGCTTATGCCCATGGATAGGATAGGATTAGAATATTAAAATAGGATACGGTGGGGTAGGATAGAATTAGAATATATTAGGATAGGATAGATTGAAATGGGAGGGAATGGGATGCGGTAGAATAGATTAGAATAGGATAACAGAGTTGGAAGGAACCTTGGAGGTCTTCTAGTCCAACCTTCTGCTCAAGCAGGAGACCCTACACCACTCAATCAAATGGCTATCCAATCTCTTCCTAAAAACCTCCAGTGATGGAGCACCCACAATTTCTGGAGGCAAGCTGTTCCACTGGTTAAATGTTCTGTCAGGAAATATCACAACACTGTTGTGAGTTGCAAAATATGTACATGCTTATGCCCATGAAGGAACCAAATCTGAGGATCTAAGAAGAAAATAATAGAATAGAATAGAATAGAAGTTGTCACTTGGAATGTTTTCCTTGCATACATCTCGCAAAGGGTCACCATCTCCAATATCCACTGCCTAACCATGACAGGATAAATAAATACAAAATTATGCATATACCCTGCATATATTAGATGACACAGAGAAACAACACAGTGTAGTTCGGATGTCTCCATGTATAAGAAGAGAAACGTCGAGGAAAATAACCGGTTGAATGGAGCAAGCCACAACCACCACCACCCCCGTGTCATTTCTTTTCTGCCCCGAAAGAAACGCCTCAGAGCATTCCCGCCAAGTGCTCGGGAGAAGCCCGGGAAGGCTTCCCCGTCGCCCCCGTCCCCCACCACCCCTTTACTTTGCCTCCCGCTTCCCCCATCCTGGGCAGGAGACTCCCCTCCCGACCCCCGTGCCCCGCCCTGCGCAGCGCAAGGGTGTCTCCCCGCCCTGCTTTGTTTCCTCCTTGCGCTTGCGCGGTGCCTGCCCGCCGAGCGTCCGCGCGGTGCGGTGCTCCTGCTGGGGAGGGGGGGTGCTGTTTGCTGCTGCGCGGCGGCTGGCTGGCGGGAGGTGCCCGGGGGCGGGGGGGAAGGGAAGCGCGCTTGTCGGGAAAGGGTCGTCTTGGCCGAAGAAGGAAGGGAGTCCCTTGGGTTCGTTCCGGGGCGCTTCCGGCTATGGAGGCCGCCTTGGTGAAGCCGATGGTGGCGGAGGTGAAGCCAGGTGCCGTGAGCGCCGTGAGCGCCGAGCTGGAGGTGAAGAAGCTGCAGGAGCTGGTGCGCAAGCTGGAGAAGCAGAACGAGCAGCTGCGCAATAGAGCCGCTGCCACCTCGCCGGCTTCGGCTCCCGGCCCGAGCCCGGGCAGCCCTCTGCAGCCGCGGCTGCTAGCCCCGGCCGCCACTGCCGCACCGCTAGCCCCCCGCAGCAGCTCCCCTCCAGCCGGTCGGTCGAGCCCAGCGCCGGCTCTCGTGTGCCAAGCCGAGCCCTTCGTCTACTTCAAGCCGTCCCCCACCGGGGGAGCCCACGAAACCCTCGCCGCCCCTTCCATCCTTCTGCCCCCGGCCAGCCTTTTGGATGAGGTGGAGATACTGGACCTTCGCAGGCTGGGTGGCTACGGCCGGGATGGAAAGGAAGAAGAGCAGCAGCGGTTCGAGGAGGAGGAGGAGGAAACCTGGTAGGGTATCTTTGCCCGACTTTTCCGCACAAAGGCTTGTCTCCCGCCTGGCTCTTCTTTCCCTGCGGCTCTTCCTGAGAAAAGAGACCCTTCCTCCTTTTTTTTGTATCCAGCTGGCGCTTTCCATAGCTCGCTTTCCCAGCCTTTGGCTGCCCAAATCCCCTTTGATTCTGATTTGTTTAAAATTAGAATAGAATAGAATAGATTTTTTTATTGGCCAAGTGTGTTTGGATACACAAGGAATTTGTCTTTGGTGCATATGCCGTGAGTGTACATAAAAAGACAAGATACATTATTATTAGTATTAGTATTATCATCATCATCTCTTATTAATTAAACATGAAACTCAGTCAACTGAACATTGAAAATGTGTATTATTATTATCATCATTATCATTATTATTTACATTGGGCCTTCCTCTCTGAACATCTCCGTTTTTCTCATTGATTCTTTTTCCAACCCTTACTTTCCCAAGTCTTCCATTTGTTTCTAACCTGCTTTTTGCCTGTGTGGTTTAAAAACAAAGATTTAGAAACACTGGGTTTTAAAGACTTCTCTTTGTATTGGAGTGGTGGATAAATCCCAGGCACGAATAGGCATATGCCTTTAAAACGAGAATGAGTATAAATTCTTAATTTTTTTTTAGCATGGAGCGGGGGGGGGGAACTGAGATTTGTTAGCGTTGTGTTCTTTGCTGCATTGCCTTCACTGTGTTGTGCAAAAAATCATGGTGCACTGGTTAAGATCCCAGGGCTGGCTGATGCTGATTGAAATAGGACAGTTTTGAACTACTGTCCTACTCTCATGTAGGGAAGAAATGATAAAATGGGAAAAGCTGGGGATTTCAAATAAAGCTGGTCTGGAGCTCACGGTTTAGCATACATGTTTGAAATGGAAGTTGAGTTGAAAATGAATGGGTAATATTACTGCCTCGGTGGGAGGGATGAAATCTTACACTTGTAAAACTTGCATGTGGATTTCAGTACTGTGGTCAGCAACCCTTGTGATGGTATGGATATTTATGAATAGATCCAGCGCAATATGGGTGCCTGCAAAAATAATGAAAATGGAGGTGGTATTTGTGATATACTGCAGAAAATTTCAACAGTCAGCAAAACTGATGGGGGGTTTTCTCCATTGTTAGAAAAACTGCAGTCATTTTAGGAGAAATCCTTTTTCACAGGGAGTAGAGAAGTTTGGGAAGAGAATACTGTTTCCTACTGTTTCACTTTCTTTACAACCATACCTTCTGATACTTCCTCTTGCAAAATTTAAAATGCTTCCGAAGAAAAGTACATGTAGATTCATGCGGAAAGAAGAAACATCCTTCATTGTTTCCCATATCAAATACCATTTATATTTCCGTTTCATATTTCTCATTACATCATGCAGTCTGTGAATTTTTTTCAGGATCTCAGTCATTAATATGGCATTATCTGTATTCAAAAAGACACACTTCTAACATCACCACAAGCTTTCATTAGGCATTTATCCATAAAGGACATTACATACAATTGTGTTACTCTTGCACAATGTTGAGCAATTGGCTAAGAATTCCGTTTTGTAAAATATTCTGGAATTTAAGCAGCTATCTGGAGAGATAAAAGGCATCCATACCAATAAATGGTTCACCAGAGACTTTTTTTTAATCACCAGCTGCAGTCTCTAAGAAGTTGAATAATGTTTAAAAGAACTCAACATGGTAAACCTGAAAAATCAACAGAAATGTCTCCCAATGCTTGTGAATCTAATTCTAACCATACCATGAAAAGAAACTGGCTAATGAGTAAATAAAGAATGTCAACCAATAAAGAAGAATTTTTGTAGTTCAGGAATGAAACGAAGGGTCCTTGGTACTCTCTGAGCTTGCTTGTTTTCTTGCAGAAGTTTCATTACCCTAACTAGGTAACATCTTCAGGGCTAGTAAGGAGTGCTGTTTGCTGCCAGCCTGTCTGTTTGGATGGGAGCGGTCTTAGGGATATTTTGGTTGGGCTGTTTACTGATGGCTCTTTGGCAGTTTCTTGATTGGGGTATTGCTTACTTGATTGTTGGTCTGAAGTTAACCTTGGAGTTAATCTATGCTGATCTGAGTGCTGACTACTGGTGGAGAGGTGCAGGAGTCTTATTCTCTTTTGGGATGGTTGATTGCCCCTTTTGCATAGTCTATAGATGTTGTTAATGTCTATGTGCCTGTTGATGGCTGATTTGTCAGAGTGCTAGGCTTATAGAAATTCCCTGGCATATTTGGCCTAGTCTAGGATTGTCACATTTCCCCCAGTTGAAACTATGGTTAAATCTGTCGATATGTTGTGAAATCAAAGAGTTTCCATCATGTCTTCTGACTGCCAGTTGGTGTTCATGGATGCGTGCTACCAGTCTTCTGCCTGTTT